GAGCCCAGGAGTTGGAGGTTGCTGTGAGCAGTGAAGCCATGGCACTCTACCCAGGGTGACAGCTTGAGGCTCTGTCTCAAAAAAAAAAAAAAAAGAATATGTAGGGGACCCCAAGAACAGAATTCACCCAGATCTGTAAAGAGTGCAAGTGAAGTTTAATGGCAAGTTCTTGGCTTGGCTGCCTACTCCAACCTGAGATTCCTTCCTTATTAAAAGTTCCAGTGAGGGCTCGGCGCCTGTAGCTCAGCGGCTAGGGTGCCAGCCACATTCACCAGGGCTGGTGGGTTTGAATCCAGCCCAGGCCTAGCCAAACAACAATGCCAACTACAACCAAAAAATAGCTGGGCGTTGTGGCAGGTGCCTGTAGTCCCAGCTACTTGGGAGGCTAAGGCAAGAGAATCGCTTTAGCCAAGAGTTTGAGGTTGCTGTAAGCTGTGACCCCATGGCACTCTACCCAGGGCAACACAGTGAGACTCTGTCTCAAAAAAGAAAGAAAAAGAAAAAAGTAGCAGGCATCATGGCAGGTGCCTTTAGTCCCAGATACTGAGGAGGGTGAGGCAAGAGATCACTTCAGCCCAAGAGTTTGAGGTTGCTGTGAGCTATGATGATGCAACAGCACTCTACCCTAGGTGACAGAGACTCTGCTTCAAAAAAGAAAAAAAAAAAATTCCAGTGAAGCAAATCGAAAAAGGTCTCCGTGGGTTATTACTTTCCTTGCTGCACTGTGTAAATAAACAGGCCAAATTTAATGAAACCAGAAATATTTTGTAAGTAAGAATAATCTTACTTTGATTATCTTCAATTAAAAAGGGAGGTTGTTTGTAGGGAGAAATTGTATCTTTCAGTGGAGAAACAACACACCTGTGTGGTTTATCAGCTTTCAGTCTTGTGCACTGTCTAAAACCGACTAGTTCCTGATTCATACACATTTCGTTGGCCTGGCCAAATCCTCAGTTCCACTTTCCTTCAATAACTGGCCCCATGCTCCAAACCAACGTTTCTAATTTTTCTCCCTCCCTGCTGACTTGGCATCACCAGAATTCAAACTTGAATGCCCAGATCCTTGTTGGGAACTCAGATTGTCCTTTACTCCCAGGGTCTGAAAAAGCCCAGCAGGCTGAGTAAGAAAAAGTTTATTTTCTTTTTTTTTTTTGAGACGGAGCCTCAAGCTGTCCCCCTGGGTAGAGTGCCATGGCATTACAGCTCACAGCAACCTCCAACTCCTGGGCTCAAGCGAGTCTCCTGCCTCCGCCTCCCAAGTAGCTGGGACCACAGGTGCCCGCCACAACGCCCAGCTATTTTTTTTTTTTGGTTGCAGCCGTCATTGTTGTTTGGCGGGTCCAGGCTGGGGATTCGAACCCGCCACCTCAGGTGTACGTGGCTGGCGCCTTAGCCGGTTGAGCCACAGGCGCCGAGCCGAAAAAGTTTATTTTCAACAGATTATTATGTATGAGGTGGAGTGGCTGCTCTGTGGGCCACTCAGGGAAGTGCTCCAGGGCTCCAGCATGTTCCACAATCTGCTCCGGGAACCAACCGTGACTGTGACACTGATGTCTATGCCGCCACCACCAACATTCACAGGACAAGCCCGGAAATCCATCGGATTGCCACTGTTATCCTCATTCCACTGAGTACAGACACTCAGAGCCCAGCGTCTAGAAATCTTCTTAACTGGCTACCCTCTAAAACCTGCCTTTATCATCAGCGCCAACCATTAATCTGTTTTTCTTTCTGCACCCACATCCATGGCTCGCATTCAGTGCCCTGTCATCTGAGTCACTCAGCAAACACACTCCACTGTGGAGTCTCAACATGTGGTCCAGCCCATCCTTCAGGAAAAAAAGAACTGAATGGAAAATGGGTGGCCCCTGTTGAGAGGAAAAGAATGTTTCCTTGAACAAGAGGAGGACCAGACTCCAACCAGGCTCCTCTGAGCTTCTCAACGGGGCCTCAAACAAACACCAACATAATTTTTTAACAGCTCAAAGCCATGCACATACCTAAAGATGGCCCTAGCCTCCTCCTTAAAGAGCCTCACAAACTCAAGTTTGTGAACAGAATCTCCAGTCTGTTCCAGCCAACCCCTGAAGACACCTGTCTCCCAGGCCCTTTGGGAGGACAGGAGCTAACTTTATTTTTAAATTTTTACTTATTTAGGAGCTAACTTCAATAAGGTCCACTGGCCAACCAGATGGGCTTCACACGGACCACCGTCCTTCCTACCACCCCAGTTCCTGGGGTGGAATTGCCCCTCAGTCCCCTGTCACTTCTAGAAAAAGTGGTGTGGAGCTCAGCACTCCCTCATCCTGTCAGTAGTTAATGAGTAAACACACCTTTTGCATTAACTAGTGCCCCACTATATTTCTCTTTAAACTTACTCCTCCTGGGCCCTGCAAGTCCCCTGGGAGCCCGCCCCCACCCCCCACCCCCCACCCCCACCAACGGGCAGGGCAGCAAGTTCTGAGGGCAACCGACTCCCCTGATCTTTCAGGCTTTGGGAGTGGGGATGGTTCTGCAGTAAATGCAAATCAATAGCACACAAAAATCCCTGGCTGGAAAAACAGAAAAAGTTGGTCACTGGTCCCTTAGCTGGGCAGTCTTGGGGTGACCTCCCCTTTCTCTCACATTCCCAGGTGGCAGGAGGCAGGCGGGCTCCCCAAGCCACAGCAGACCACGTAGCGGGGATGAGGGAATCTCTAAGGCCTGCAAGGAGGAGCCTGCTGGTGATCACTGAGCCGCCCTCCCCCTTTTTCACCCCACCCCGGGTCCAGCTCCAGAGCCTCTCCTCCGGTCCCCTTGCAAAGAACTGCCCAGCTCTGAGGGTCTGATCCCAGAGCGTGGCATCCTGCCCCAGAGACAAGCTAATCATCCCCTTCGAACACCCACCCGAGGCCTGAGGCCCAATATCCAACCCAGGTCTGGGGCCCTCACCCCAGCACAGATCGTCAATCGTCTTCCCCAGGACGAATCTGGGAACCCCGCCCGGTGCAGAGACAGCCCGGGTTAGATGCCCTTCAGGGGTCCGAATCCCTCACTCCCACCTGGCGCTCCCTACCCCCCAGGCTCGGAACTCTCTACAGTCAGGCTCCCTCACAGCACTCAGAGCCCCCTAGCCCAGGGCCGGAGACCCCCTGCCAGCCGGCTCACTCACCTTCCCGGAGGCCGCGGCCCTGCCTCGCCCCGCCCCGCCCCGCCCCTCCGGTCTGCACGCTCCCGGCGCAGGCGTCGCCGCGGGCAGCCCCGGTCCGGAGAGGCCCTGATGGCGGCGGCTATGGCGGCGGCGCTGCGGGGACCTGGCGCGCGCTTCCGGTGGCGGCAGCTGGCGTCGGCGGGCGGGGCCCGGGGCGCGGCGCGGGGCGCAGCAGGTAGGGCGCGGCCGGGCGGAGGTGGCCGCGCACCGGCCTTTCGGTCTAGTCTTGGGCAGGAGATGGGGCCGCTTTCAGCCCCCGCGAGCCCCCTTCCCAGATGGGGAAGCTGAGGTGGGGCCCCGCTGTGCCCGCGGCATCCGAGCTGGCGCCCCCAGCCCTGTAACGACTACAGTCCTAACGGTGATGATGTTCCACCTCTCGAGGCCGCAGTGCGCCCCCCTGGCCAGACCTCCCACCTCCTACCGTACCCCAGACGCTGCACACAGCAGGTGCGCGTATGCACGGCCCCCCGCTGTAGTGGGCGAGGAGGATGCCCTGGGGGAGGAGGCACGTGCATTTGTTCTCCTGGAGCTTGCAGGGTTCGCCCACCAAATTGGGACATTGGGACAGTATTTTAACTTCGAGTGCCCTGAGAAGGGACTCCCGCCACCCCACGTCACTCAGGAGGGTTTGCACCACACACTGCAGGTACAGCTCCTCCGAGTGCCCATGGATTCCCACATCTGCTTGGGAATCCCAGCTCCATGCATGACCACGTGTTCTCTGCCTCATGGGGGACCATCCCCATCCTGTTCCTGGAGGCCTGAGACAGCTCTGCTGTTCCCATAGGGAGGGAGTGTGGAGGGTGTGAGGGAGGCCTGGCTCAGGCTGCTTCATAGAGATGTCACTGCAGGAGGCAGATGGCCAGCCCTTGGCCACCAGTGGGCTAGGAAGGAAGGCTGAGGGCATGTGTAAACAGACCATTACTGTCCAGGCCCTGGGGACCTGCCAGGCTGAAGGTGGCCCTGTGGGGTCCTGGGTGGCAGGCAGTTACCACCTTGTGAGGTGACCTAGGGGGTGCGCTTACTGTGGCTTTGTGAACCTGGGAGCCTGGTAAAGACACTTTTTTTTTTTTTTGAGACAAGAGTCTCAAGCTGTAGCCTTAAGTAGAGTGCTGTGACATCATAGCTCATAGCAGCCTCCAACTCTTGGGCTCAAGCAATCCTCTTGCCTCGGTTTTTCTATTTTTAGTAGAGAACCTTGCTTTTGTTCAGGCTGGTCTGAAACTCATGAGAACAAACTATCCACCCACTTTGGCCTCCCAGAATTAGACTAGGATTATAGACGTGAAGGACACCAGTCTTTCAAAGCTTCCTTATTGCATATGTCAGGTAGGGACATTCGTAAATACACCTGTGTCAGTGGAGTCCTCACCTTACCCAGTGCCAGGGAAAGATGTATAGACAGGAGCTGCCCCTTTAGGCTGTTAGGCAGCTCTGGCCTTGGGGCAGGGCATTTGGTTTCTAGCTGTGCAGAAGGTACCCTGAGGGTTCTGCCCCTTTACTGGCATGAGAAGGAGCTGATAAGGCCTGGAGAAGGTGCTAACCCCTAACAATGAGTGCAAGTTTTGGGGTCTTGCTGTGTTGTCCAGGCTGGAGTCTAGTGGCTATTCACAGGTATGATCATAGTATACCACAGCCTGGACCTGCTGGGCTCAAGCAATCCCCCTGCCTCAGTCTCCTGAGTAGCTGGGACTATAGGTATGTGTGATGATGTGCTGCTCTCAGAGTCCAGTTATGAGCCACCACCTTCATTTCAGCCCCAAAGTTTCTCCTTTCAGAGCAGGGAGACATCAACCCTGTCACAGGCTTGGGGGGGTGGGGGTGGGGTGGCTGATGTAGCCCCTGAATGGCAGGAGCTAGCCCAGTGCTATAGATGTTAACTGTCTTCTGACACCTGCTGCTAGGAAAGAGTTTGGGGGATGGGGAGAACAGCCACACAGAAGATCCCGAGGTGGCCAGCTCACTTATGGGTGCTGTTTGCTGGGGACTTCACATGCCCTCGCTGCAGCAGCACATCTGTCACTTGGGCCTTGCCATGGGCGCGGGGCTCCTGCTCTAGCTGGCCCTGGACTAGGCACCCATTTGAGAGAGGAGCAGAAAAGTTACAGGACAGTGTAGCCAGACGCAGCAGGGAAGCTCAGACGCTTAAGCCCAGAGGGTGGGGAGAGAGGGCAGAAGGCAATGCTATGGGGTTTCCCAGGGCATTGGAGTGCACAGGTGAGTCCCCAGGTAAGGGGTGCTTCCTTGCCATCTGGCCCTTCCTCCCACAGAGCAGCACCCACCCTGCCTACCTTCTGGGTCCTTGGGTCCTCCCCAGCAGGCTAATCCAACCCTCCCATGTGCTTAAGGGCAGATCTACCCGCCTGTTCCAGTGCTTATCAGGATGAGAGGGCTCCTGGGCGTGCCCAGGGGAGAGTAAACCACCAGGATAAGCCCTCACTCTGCAAAGCCAGTTTGCCCTCCACACTGCTTGATAGTGGGGCTGCAAGTGGGACGACCAGCTCACTTACACATGCACTCTGGTGCACCCACTCTGGGTGACCAGAAGAACAGGTACCAGGATGGAAGGTAGGGACATTCTGGGCAAAGCCTCCAGGGCACCAGTCCAGGGACAGCTCCTCTTACACCAGCAGGTGTCCTTGGTTCTCAGGGCTGGCGTAGGAGTCATCAGAACAATTTACAACAGCTTAGGCCTTTTTAGAGTCCTTGAGTTGAATTCAGAATGGGGTGAGCTTTGGCTTGGCTGTGTGAGCTGGGTTGCGTCTCTCTGAGATTGTACATGTGTGTACACACATATCACATGTACCCAGATACCACTGCTGGATGGAAGTGTGAGTGGGTCCGGCTGTGGAGCAGGCTGACTACAGGCAGCCTGTGTGCCTGGACACGGCTCCTGGTGGCAGTTTCCAGGGCTTTCTCAGCTGTGAACCAGTACTTTGAGGCCCTAGCTCTTGTGTCCATTTAGGGTACAGGCTCTAGACCCCAGTCTGGGGGCATCTGCAGAGGTGGGTTCCTTGGGGGATGTGGGACTCGGACCTTTGAGGCAGCTGAAGAGACAGGTGCAAGGCTCTGATCCTGTGTTGGGGAGGATACCCTAGCCTCGGATGGCAGACCCCACTCTGATCGTGGGACCTGTGGACCTGGCCCAAGAGCAGTGACCATCTCCAGATGCCCTGGGAGGGTGGCACTCTTCCTCATCCAGGTAGGCCTTTGTCTGCAGAGAGGCTGGAAGACTTCTACTTGTTTTATACTTAGACCCTTGTCACCAGCTCCTCCCCTGCCCTCACCCTCCATGGACTGACAATTTTCTGTTATTTCTTCCTTCACCCGGGGAGTGGGCTAGTGCATGGTTGTGGGTGTCCCCTATCTCAGGCCCGAGTCAGAGTACTTCCATTGCCCTGCACTCCCTTCCTCTCCATCCTCCTCGTTTTGGTTCTTTCTCACCTGCCTTCGGTGCTAGTAGCTTGTAGAGTAGGTGCAGATGACGCCTTCTGCAGGTTGGAGAGGCTGAGAGTGGCCCTCTGTGCTGCAAACTGTAGTGAAGGACCAAGGTGACAACTCAGGGAACCCAAAGGGAATGCCAGAGAAGAAGTCTGAGCCCAGGCAGCTCTGGCTGTGTTCAGGGTTACTTCTCTCCCAGATCACCCTGCAACCGGGCAGGCTCTGAGACATCTGGTAGTGCATGCCTGCCAGCTACACATGGCAGGGGCTGTGCTTTTATTCTTGCTCACTTGTGACAAGTGGTGACTTTTTTTTTTTTTAAGACAGAGTCTTACTCTGTTGCCCTGGGTAGAATTGCATGGTGTCATCATAGCTCACATCAACCTCAAACTCTTAGGTTCAAAAGATCTTCCTACCTCAGCTTCCCAAATAACTGGTACTATTGGTGCCCACCATGAAACCCAGGTAATTTTTCTATTTTTAGTAGAGATGGGGTCTATTCATCTACTCCTGAGCTGAAGCAATCCACTCACCGTGGCCTCCCTGAATGCTAGGATTATAGGCTTCTGCCACCTCACCCTGCCACAAAGGGCGATCTTTACAACTCAAAGGCACATGGGCACAAGGAGAATGTTTTAGCGCCGAATCTGGCTCAGAATGCTGGGTGAAGTTGAGTTCTGAAGTCCTGCTGATTGGCACTGTGTGTGTGGGAGGCGTGGTTTGCAAATGTGATGGCACACACCTCTGCCAACCTCATCCCAGCATCACTGGGCCCTGGATCTGCCCAGACCACATGTATGAAGTCCTTGCTTTCCTCTCTGGTGGGTGATGTGTTGTCACCTCTATCCATCAAAGGATGGGGTCTTCCATCTTAATAAAATAGATCCTGTACTGGCTCGGTGCCCATAGCACAGTGGTTATGGCACCAGCCACGTACACTGAAGCTGGTGGGTTCAAACTCAGCCCAGCCCAGCTAGAACAACAATGGCAACTGCAACAAAAAATGGCCAGGCATTGTGGTGGATCCCTGTAGTCCCTACTACTAGGGAGGCTGAGGCAAAAGAATCGCTTAAGCCCAAGAGTTGGAAGTTGCTGTGAACTGTGATGCCATGGCTCTCTACTGAGGGTGACATAATAAAAGTCTGTCTCAAAAAAAAAAATAGATCCTGTACTGCGTTTAACCATGCAGAACTTCTTGCTGATTGGAATCATGGGACATCACAGAGGGCCACTCTCAGCCTCTCCATCCTGCAAAAGGCGTCACCTGCCCCTACTCTACAGTGCTAAAACACTCTCCATGGGACAGACTTTCTGAGTCTGTCCCCAGCCCTGGGCTGACCGCCTTCCTTCTCATCTCTCTTCCCTTCTCCCAACAGGGCAGTGGGACTATGACCTCCTGGTCATTGGTGGAGGATCTGGTGGCCTGGCTTGTGCCAAGGAAGGTATGTATCCTCTGTCCCCTTGGCATGGCAGGGCCTTGAAGCTTTTGGGGCCCCTTGGAGGGAGTGGCATTGTCCCAAACATGCATGCATCTCCTCCATAGCTGGCGTGCTGTGGTTGCCCCAGTGGCTGGTTGCTGGTGTACCTGGCCATCTGCCAGTCAGCCCATCCCTGGACCTCAGGGCCACTTCTGGAAATGGGTGGTCCTGCTGGCAATGTGTCCCACTGTCTCTCCCAGTGGAACCGACACCTGGCCTGTGTGTCTGCTCAGTGCCAGAGTTCCAGGGACTCGCGTCTCCTTTACCCCGGAATCTCAGTTCTTGGGTGCCTTTCGTGAGAGTGGCATTCCCTCTGCAGACTGTGGCATGGTTTTGTAGCTTTGTTGGGGTAAAATTGATATATTTAAAGTGGACAACTTGATAAGCCTCAATATGTGTATATACCTGGGAAACCAGAACCATAGTCAAGATAGGGAGTCTGCTGGGGCTGGTGGCTGACACATCAGAAATTTATGGCCTCACAGCTCTGGAGGCCAGATGTTCAAGATCCAGGTGTCTGCTGAGGCCTGTCCCCTGGGCTGGCCGATGGCTGCCTCCTCCCTGTGTCCTCACAGGGTTGTCTGTCTATGCCTGTCCTCATCTGTTATAAGGACACCTTACTGGGTCAGGGCCCACTGGCCTCATTTTGACTTGAGTGCCTTTTTGAAAACTCTACATCCAAATATCATCACATTCTGAGGTACTGGGGTCAGGGCTTCCCATGGGAATTTTGGCAGGGAGGGCACAGGTTGGCCCATAACAATACCCAAAGTTTCCTCGAGCCCTTATAACCCCTTCCTACTTCTACCCCACGTTCCTAGGCAACCAGTGGGCTTTCCCTTACTAGGAATTAGTTTGCGTTCTTGGAATCCTTCTAGTGAGCTCTTCTGGCTCCTTTCACCCTACATAGTTATCTTGAGACTCGTGTGTGTTACTGCATGTTTCAGTCGTTCTTTATTTTGTTGTTATTTTTGGAGACAGAGTCTTGCTCTGTCACCCTGGGTAGAGTGCCGTGGTGTTATGGCTCACTGTAACCTCTAACTCCTGGGCTCAAGTGATCCTCCTGCCTCAGCCTCCCAAGTACCTGGGACTACAGGTGCCCACTACCATGCCTGGCTAGTTTTTTCTATTTTTAGTCAAGATGTTGTATATGGTGGGGAGTGTCTCACTCTTGCTCAGGCTGGTCTCAAGTTCCTGAGCTCAAACTATACTCCTGCCTCAGCCTCCCAGAGTGCTGGGATTATAGGTGTGAGCCACCACGCTCAGCCCTGGTCATGTATTTTCATTACCTGGGAGTGAAGTTGCTGGGTCACTGGTAACTTTATGGTTAGCATTCTGAGGAGCTGCCCAGCTGTTTTCCACAGTGCCTGCACCACTTATCTTCCCGCCAGCTGTGTGTGAGTTTCCAGCTGACTTCACATGTTCCCCACAGTTGTTACCTGTTTTTTTTATTGTAGCTGTACTACATCTTTTCATATGCTCGTTGGCTGTTTTCGTATCTTCTTGGAGAAATGTCTATTTAAAACCTTTTCCCATTTTAAAAATGGATTTTTTTTAAAATTATTGAGTTTTAAGAATTTTTTTTTTTAACAGAGACAGAGTCTTACTTTATTGCCCTTGGTAGAGTGCCATGGTGTCATAACTCACAGCAACCTCCAACTCCTAGGTTTAGGCAATTCTCTTGTCTCAGCCTTCCAAGTAGCTGGGACTACAGGCGCCTGCCACAACGCCTGGCTCTTTTTTTGTTGCAGTTTGGTCGGGGCTGGGTTTGAACCTGCCACCCTCGGTATATGGGGCCGGCGCCCTACTCACTGAGCCACAGGCACCACCTGAGCTTTAAGAATTTTAAAAAATATATTCTGGGCTGGGTGCAGTGGCTCACGCCTATAATCTGAGCAGTCTGGGAGGCTGAAGCAGGTGGATTGCCTGAGCTTATAGTTTCAAGACCAGCCTGAGGCAGAGCAAGATCCTGTCTCTAAAAATAGCCAGGAATTGTGGTGGACACCTGTAGTCCCAGCTACTCAGGAGGCTGAGGCAAGAGAATCGCTTGAGCCGGAGAGTTGGAGGTTGCTATGAGCTGTGACACTATGGCACTCTACCCAGGGTGACAAAGTGAGACTCTGTCTCAAAAAGAAAAAAAAAAAAAAAAAAAAAAATATATATATATATATATTCTGGATACTAGAGTCTTGTCAGATGTCTGATTTGTAATCTTGCAGAATCTCCCATTTTGTAGGGTGTCTCCTTCCCTCCTCTCCTTTTTTTCTTCCTTTCTTCCTTGACAAGGTCAGGCTGGAGGATAATGGCTCAGTCACAGGTCACTGAGACTTCAAACTCCTTATCTCAAGTGATCTTCCCACCTTAGCCTCCTGAGTATCTGGGACTATAGCACCTGGCTAAATTCTTTGAGCTTTTGTATGTCTGAAAAATCTGTATTTTACCTTCATTTAAAAAACGTATTTTCTCTGGATATAGAATGCAAGGCAGGCAGGTTTTTTTTTCTTGTAGCACTCTAAAAACCTTGTACCTCTGTCTTCTCACTTGCATTATTTGTGAGGAGGAAGCTGCCACCATCTTTATCCTTATTTCTCTGAAGTGTGTCTTTTTTTCTTTTACTTTTTTTTTTTTTTTTTGAGACGGAGCCTCAAGCTATCCCCCTGGGTAGAGTGCCATGGCATTACACTCACAGCAACCTCCAACTCCTGGGCTCAAGCGAGTCTCCTGCCTCAGCCTCCCAAGTAGCTGGGACTACGGGTGCCCGCCACAATGCCCGGCCATTTTTTGGTTGCAGCCATCATGGTTGTTTGGCGGGTCCGGGCTGGGGATTCGAACCTGCCACCTTAGGTGTATGTGGCTGGCGCCTTAGCCGCTTGAGCCACAGGCGCCGAGCCGCGTCTTTTTTTCTGTGCCTACTTTTAGGATATTCTCTTTCCATTGGTTTTTCAGCAATGATTTTTAATTGTGGTATGCCTGTTTATTCTTTTTTGAATTTTTTTGGCTAGAGTTCATTGAGCTTTTTGGTTCTATAGATTTTTATTTTTTATTTTATTTATTTATTTTTGAGATAGAGCCTCACTCTATGCCCTGGGTAGAGTGCTATGGCATCATAGCTAACAGCAACCTCAAACTCTTGAACTCAAGTGATCCTCCTGCTTCAGCCTCCCAAATAGCTAGGACTATGATTACCTGTCATAACACCTGGTTATCTTTAGTTTTTCTTTTTTTTATTGTTGGGGATTCATTGAGGGTATAATAAACCAGGTTATACTGATTGCATTTGTTAGGTAAAGTCCCTCTTACAATTGTGTCTTGCCCCCAAAAGGTGTGTCACACACCTAGTTTTGGTTTTTTTATTTTCATCAAGTTGTGAAATTTTTTGACCATACCTCTTCAAATAATTTTTCTGTCCCTCCCCCTTGCCCTCACTTTTGGACACTTTAATTCCTCATATATTAGGCTTGATGCAGCTCACTGATGCGCTTTTCATTTAAAAAACAATTTTTTGGCTTGGCGCCTGTGGCTCAAGTGGCTAAGGCGCCAGCCACATACACCTAAGGTGGAGAGTTCAAATCCAGCCCGGGCCCACCAAACCACAATGACGGCTGCAACCAAAAAATAGCTGGGTGTTGTGGCGGGCGCCTGTGGTCCCAGCTACGTGGGAGGCAGAGGCAGGAGACTCGCTTAAGCCCAGGAGTTGGAGGTTGCTGTGAGCTTTGATGGTATAGCACTCTACCCAGGGGGACAGCTTGAGGCTCTGTCTCAAAAAATAAAAAAATAAAACAATTCTTTTTCCTACTTTCAGTGGAGACGGGGGTCTTACTCTAGCTCAGGCTGGTCTTGGACACCACAAGCAATCTACCTGCATTAGCTTCCCATTAAAAAAAAGTTTTCCTGGCTCGGTGCCTGTTCCATAGTGGTTACGGCTCCAGCTGCATACACCAAAGGTGTTGGGTTTGAACCTGACCTGGGCCAGCTAAACAACTGCGACAACAAAAATAAAAAATAAAAATAGCCAGGTGTTGTGGTGAGTGCCTGTAGTCCTGTTACTTGAGAGGCTGAGGCAAAGAGAATCACTTTAAGCCCAAGAGTTTGAGGTTGCTGTGAGCTGTGATTCCACCGTACTCTGTTGAGTACTGGGGTGACATAGTGAGACTCTGTCTCAAAAAAAAAAAAAAAGTTTTTCTTGTCTTCTGTGTTTCTTTTTGGACAGTTTCTATTCCTGTGTTTTCAAATTCACTAAAAAAAGATTCTGTATGGGTGGCACCTGTGGCTCAAAGGAGTAGGGCACCAGCCCCATATGCTGGAGGTGGCGGGTTCAAACCCAGCCCCAGCCAAAAAGTGCAAAAAAAAAAATAAAGATTCTATAAAATGTAATCTGTGATTAATCCCAGTTAGTGTATTTTTTTATCTTCTACCTTGTAATTTTCATCTCCCAAGTTGGTTCTTTTGTTCTAGCTTCTGTGTTGTTCCCTAACTCTTTGAACATATAAAATAGTTAAAATACTCCTTTTATGGATCTTTTCTGCTGATTCTGGCTGCTGTGTCCCTTCTCAGTCAGTTTCCTTGACCATTTGTTTCCCCCCTTTGTGGGGGTATTTTCCAGATGTTTTGCATGGCTGGTAATTTTTGGTTGAATATCAGACACTTTGAATTTACCTGTTGGGTTCTGTACATTTGTATATTTCTAGAAATACTATTATTGAGCTTTGTTCTGGGATGTAGGTAAGTTGTTAAGAGACAGTTTGACCCTTTTCAGGTGAGTACAGACGGTGCCCAGTCTCAGGCTTATTTATTCTCAACCACTGAGGTCTGACCCAGCGCCCCAGGAATTCTGTGTTTATCCCAGTCTGGCTTTAGAAATAGGCCTATTCCCTGCCCTATGGTCCCACAGTCCCCTCTGATCCTTCCAGGTAGTTCATCCCCAGCTTTGGGTAGTTTGCTTGTGAAGGTGAGCAGATGGCACCCCTGCCGTCTCCCTCCTCTCTGCCCTTCCGTCCCACTCGGTCTCTGTGGACTCAGCCCCCTGGCTCCTCCCCCCAGTGGACTGTGCTGCTGTCGCCACCCCCAGTGCCGGGTGCTGGGGACTCCCTAAAGCCACCTCGTTGGCTTCTGTCTCTCAGGTCTGTTGTTTGTCACCTATTGTCCACTTTCTTAAAACCCGTCATTTCATTTATTTTATCTGGAGTTTTGGTTGTTTCAGGGGAGGTAAATTTGGGCCATGTTGCTCCCTCGTGGCCAGAGGTGGGAGTTGGACATTGGCATTTTGAAGAGTCCTTGCAGCCTGACCCTCTGAATAGAGCGTGGGAATCCCTCTTCATTCAGTTGAGCAAAATGGGTTTTTGTTTTGTTTTGTTTTTTGAACTATGATGCTATGGCATCATAGTTCACAGAAACCTCAAACTCTTAAATTCAAGTGATTCTCTTGCCTCAGCCTCCCAAGAGCTGGGACTACAGGCACCGGCCACAGCGCCCAGCTATTGTTAGAGATGGAGGTCTTGCTTTTGCTCAGGCTGGTGTCAAACCCATAAGCTCAGGCAATCAGCCTGCCTCGGCCTCCCAGAATGCTGGGATTACAGGTGTGAGCCACCGTGTCCGGCCTGATCAAAATGGGTTTTTAAGGTGAGTGATTCTGAAACTATTCTGGTGCTGGTTGTCAGTAGCTGTGAATGGAGTGTTTCCTGTAGTGTCTAGAGCACTTGACCACCTCCACCAGGGCCAGGATTTGCTGATGCTATTCCCAGGGAGAGCCAGGAGAAAGCCCCCAAATTAGCCCTGGCAATGTGTTTTAAGTTGGCCTCAAAGCCTGGAACCCCTGGCCCTGATGGCCCTGCCAATGGCCAAGAGAGCCACTGGGCAGCTCCACAGCAGGAGGTGTAGTTTGGGGTTGGGGGTCTGGGTGTCCCCTCTGGGGCTGACTGACTCTGGGGCTGGCTGACTCTGGTCCTGCCAGTCCACTTCTGAGCTCCATCCAGGGGTCTGGGAAGGCCAGGGACAGAGCAAGGGGGAGCCTCCGGGTAGGGTGGGGCAGTGGGAGAACAGGTTGGCGTCAGCACCACCACGATGGTCATTGTGCAGGCTGTGGTCTGAGGAGAGGACTGAGGGGCCTTGCCTGTGGGCAGGCAAAGCAGGGGTCACTGGCGTGGTTCCACGGGCCCAGGCCCTTCTCCACCCTCTTACAGGCCTCCTGGGTCCCTGGGCATCCCCAGCTCTGGCCCCAAGCTGGTCCCCTGTTGCCCTTTTGTGCTCCCTGATGCTCTCCTTGTCATTCCAGCTGCTCAGCTGGGACGGAAGGTGGCTGTGGTGGACTATGTGGAACCTTCTCCCCGAGGTGAGCAGCCCCTGTGGGAGCCCATTGTCCTGGGGAAGGAGGCGGAGGTGGGTCCAGCTCGTGAGGCCCTTCCTCCCCTGCAGTCTGTGGTCTCTGGGCAGTGTCCTGTTTCACACATCATTACTTTAAAATTCGTGGTCATTCTCATTTTAAAAACGACTCTGAATACAATTAAGGAATGCAGATTCACTCAGCCAGGATCCCCCAGCCCTGTTTGAATCACAAAACATGATCCCAATACGTGGAAGAAGAGGGGACCCTTCTTCAGCAGGTCACATAAATTCAGCTATGCTCTTCCTGTCCCAGGCACCAGGTGGGGCCTCGGTGGCACCTGTGTCAATGTGGGCTGCATCCCCAAGAAACTGATGCACCAGGCGGCACTGCTGGGGGGCATGATCCAGGATGCCCGGCACTATGGCTGGGAGGTGGCCCAGCCCATCTCCCACAACTGGTGAGGACCCAGCCAAGGTGCCCCCAATTCTTTTCTGCTACTTCAGAACAGAAAGAAAAAGAGGAGGGGGGACAGGAGAGGAGTTTCAACCAGGGAGACTCTGGGCTCTCTGTAGACATGTGTATGTATCTGCAGACATTTGGGGGTGCCACTAGGGGGAGAGCTTGCTGTGTCTTCTGTGCCCAGGGCAGCCCCACCACGAGCAGTGCGGCCCCAAAGGCTGTAAGTGTGGGTTGGGGAGTTGCCTCAGTCAAGCTTGTTTTGAGAAGGGGACCTGCGTGGCTCTTCTGAGAGCCACCACGGTGGTGCAGACATTGTCAGAGAGTGGCCTTCAGGACCCAGAGCCTCTGCTCCCAACGCTATGGGCCAGTACCTTTGTCCAGAGGTCCCACGGTCCCAAACCTAGAACTGAGGTGGTGTCAGCATGTAGACCTGGATGTCACATTTGGCTACTTTTTTTTTTTTTTTTTGAGACAGAGTCTCAAGCTGTCGCCCTGGGTAGAGTGCCGTGGCGTCACAGCTCACAGCAACTTCCAACTCTTGGGCTCAAGCAATCCTCTTACCTCAGTTTTTCTATTTTTAGTAAAGACGGGGTCTCAGTTTTGCTTAGGCTGATCTTGAACTTGTGAGCTCAAACAATCCACCTGCCTTCACCTCCCAGAGTGCTGGGATTACACGCATGAGCCACCACTGCCTGGCCTTTTTTTTGAGACAGAGTCTTACTCGGTCACCCTAAGTAGAGTGCTATGGCATTGTAGCTCACAGCAACCTCAAACTCTTGGGCTTGAGTGATCCTCTTGCCTCAACTTCCTAAGTAACTGAGACTGCAAGTGCCCACCACTGTGCCTGTCTAGTTTTTCTATTTTTAGTAGAGAGAGGGGTCTCACTCTTGCTCAGGCTGGTCTGAAATTCTTGAGCTCAGGTATGCACCAGCCTTGGCCTTCCAGAGTGCTGGGATTACAGGCACATTTTGTTACCTCTAAAAATACCCCTATTTCTTGACCTTTGTGAATATACTATGTGCATTTAATAGTCCCTTGGGAGACTTTGCAGCTAAGATGTTCTGTGGTTCTGACATTATGTATTCTGTGTTAACAGGAGGAAGATGGCGGAAGCTGTTCAAAACCATGTGAAATCCCTGAACTGGGGGCACCGAGTCCAGCTGCAGGACAGGTGCGGGGCTTGCCAGGGCCTGGGGGAACAGGCACCCTCCTTGCCTTCTATCCAGCTTCTTGTACTGGGCACATGCAGAGTACACTCCAGGGGGTCCAGAGGGGACAGGATGAGAGGTATCCCTGATCACTGGTGGGGGTACAGATAAGAAGACAGGGGTGACCGTAGGGGATGTGGGGCCACTCTGCTGTCTGGGCCCAAGCCGAGTCTGGAGACGTGAGTGAAGAACCAGAGCAGGGCTGCTCGATCTGAGGGCGCTCAGGGCTGATGGCTCCTCCCGGGGTCAGCAGCCTTTCTCCTACCACCATTATGTGGATGGAGCCCAGGAGCCTCAGTGCTGGACAGCAAAGAGGACCCCTAGCATACCTCACACACCACACCCCACACCGCCCATCTCCTGCTCCATGAACTGCATACCTCAGGTGACCATCATACCTGAAACCACCTCTCCTGTCCAGTCCTGGGGGTCCCCAGCTCCAAAGCTGGTATTTCTTTCCCACTTGAAGCTTCCCCTGAGGCTCAGCTGCTGGAGGGCAGATGCCTAAAACTGGTACTTGTCTCAGGCCCAGCCTGCCCTGCGGTGCCCAGGCCTTCCTGAGCTTCTGGGCTAGGTGTCCCCAGTCCTTTCCCTACTTGCCAGCATTGCCATCCACTGGCATTTTGCCTCACCTGAGGCCCCAGCCTAGGGTGGAGCTGCCTTTCAGCTTCTATTTAATCCCATTGGTGAGATTTAATTAGCAGAGGATGTGTTTGAAAAATCTTATCTTTATTATTCTGCAGAAAAGTCAAGTACTTTAACATCAAAGCCAGCTTTGTCAATGAGCACACAGTTTGTGGCATCACCAAAGATGGGAAAGAGGTGAGTGACCAACCCACCCAGGTGACTCCTCCGGGTCTATTCTGGCTCTGACCCACCTGGTGCTGTTCTAAGTCAAGCACTGCTGGAACTGGAAAGGAGGCCTCCTGGGGACTGTCAGACCTCTTAAAAATGGTCAGTTTATGTGAGGTGCGTGCTGGCCAGGCCACCCTGCTACATGGGGTGATGGGGTGGCTCGGCTGGGAGCCACCCTCTTTGCAGCATTGAGAGGGGATCTGAGGACACAAGCTTCCCGCAGGGAGCTTTGTGAACTGTGAAGTGCTTGGGGTTAGGCCACTTCCCTGTCCTGCCTGTCCCTGCCACCCTCCAGGCTCTTCTGAGGATCCCTGCCTGCCTGGAGGAGCCTTGAGCTCCTGACCATGAGTCCAGAGGCGATGGGGCTGCCAGCAATTGCTATAGGTGTCAAGCCCTCCAGCCAGTGACCCTCATGTTCCTGCTTGATCCCTGGCTTTCTCAATTTCTTTCCAGACTCTGCTTTCAGCTGACAACATCGTCATCGCCACTGGAGGGCGGCCACGGTACCCCACGCACGTGAGTGTCCCCAGGGCACAGGCTTCTGTGCCACTGAGCCGTCTCTGGGCTGGAGGACGTGCTGTTCCCTCTTGTCCCCACCACTGACCTGCACACCTTCCCCCCTATGCCCACTATCATCACTTTCTACTGTTCATTTCTCTTGAGTCCGCTTTACTGAATCATACAGTCCCTGGGCTGTCCTCATTGCTAAATCCTCAGAACGATTGTCATCTTGTTCTCCCCGGGGCCCACGGGGCATTCTTCTGCCATGCCTGTCTCCTGAGTTCCCCGTGTTGATCCCTCTTTTTCTCTTCAACCTCTACATGATGAGACACCAAGTAGGTGACCCTTGTTCTCCATCGTCCTCCTCTTCCCCCACGTTTTAAAAATTGAAATAATGTTCATATGCTGTAACTCACACTTCTACTGCATACAGCTGGTGAGTTTTAGATCATTCCCGGAGCTGAGCAACTGTCCGTCACTCCCATCCATCCTTAGAACTTTCCTTCTCTCCAAGTGGAAATTCTACATCCATTAAGCAGTAGCTCCCCACTCTCCTTTCCAGCCCCCCTTCTATCTCTGTGATTTTGACTACACCAGGGACCCCGTATAAGTGGAGTCACACAGGTTTGTCTTTTGTGACTGGCTTATTTCACTGACCACATCGTTCTCAAGGTTCATCCGTGTCATAGCAGGTGTTAGAATCCCCTTCCTATTTATGGCTGAACATTCCACTGTGTGGGTGTGACATATTTTGTTTACTTGTTTGTCAGTGGGCAAAAGGTTGTTTCCACCTTTTATTTGTATTTATATTTTCTTTTTTTGAGGCAGAATCTCAAAAAAAAAAAAAAAGCATTGGGTAGAGTGCTGTGGTATCAGCCTAGATCATAGCAACCTCAAACTCCTGGATTCAAGTGATCCTCTTTCCTCATCCTCCCAAATAGCTGAGACTACAGGCCCCTGCCACAGTGCCTGGCTAGTTTTCTATTTTTAGTAGAGATGGGGTCTGGCTCTTGCTCAGGCTGGTCTCCAGCTCCTGAGCTCAGGCAATCCACCTGCCTCGATCTCAATCACAGGTGTGAGCCACCACTCCTGGCCTTGTTCTACTTGTTAGCGTCTGTGAGTCATGCTACTATGAAGGTCTATGTAAAAGTTGTCACTTCTCTTGGGTACATAGTTGGGCGTGGAACTGCCAGGTCACATGGTAATTGTATGTCAAACCTTTTGAAGAACCTCTAGACTATTTTTCAAAGTGGCTGTACCATTTACATTCCCTCCAACAGTGCACATAAGTTGTAGTTTCCTGTTTCTTCATACATCTAGTAATTTCTTATTGAAAGCCTAATTTTTCACGTAATTGAGTTTTCATGTCCTAGGTTTTATTGTTGCTGTGGCTGTTTATTGGGTGACTTTCTTGCACTAATTTTGTACATGTATTATAGATTCTTCACTCTCTGTTGTATACGGCCACTGAAATCTCAGCTCCATTAGCTTAGTGGTCAGCTAATGACCAATCAGAGATTTCCTTGAATACTTGGAAACAAGAACTCCACCAGTCTGTGCTGAGGACTCCGTGTGCCTTTGGAGAATGGGCTCAGCCAGGCCACAGATGTCTCTGCTGTAGCCTTCACTTCCTGCTGTGCAGAGGTCCAGGGCAACCCAGGGAGCTTTTTCCAGAGGTCCAGGGCAGCCCAGGGTGCTTAGGCCCCCACTTCGGTCTTTCCTAGTATGTATACAGCCAGACACATCGACCTGCCTTCTTGATCCCCAGGCATGTGCTGGAGCTTTTCAAAGCCCCTTTGGACATGTCAGTCTCAACTTTTCCTTTTGGAAAAGGGCTTTTCCAAATACTATGTACCTGTAGAGCTTTTTGGCCAGTTTTCCTCAGCTCTTATCCATCACCTCAGGCAGCTGTGAGGTTAAAACACAAGACAAACACTCCTGGGGAGAGGCCTCTAGTACTGGGAGAGTTCCACTGAGATCAGATAAAGGTGACCCTTTTGGGTGGGGTCTTCCAGGGACCCCCCCCCAGCAAGGTCAGATACTGAATCTTCTTTAGGAAGTGGGCTTTGAAGGCTCCCAGCTGGGTTTTGCTTTTTCTGAAACTCACAGTTCAGCTGAAGAAGGGGATGGGACCGGAATAAGTTTACAACTCCACAGAGCTCCCCGTTCTTACTGAGTTTCAGATATTTTTCTTCTTGTGAGATGGGCTCTTCCTCTGTCCTCCAGGTTAGAGTATAGTGGTGTAATCGTGGCTCACTGCAACCTCGAATTCGTGGGCTCAAGAGATCCTCCTGCCTCAGCCTCCTGAATAGCTGGGACTACAGGTGTGCAGCATTCTTACCTGATGTTTTAAAAACCTTTTTACGCGGCCCAGGCCGATCTTGAACTCCTGGGCTCAAGCGATCCTCTAACTTTAGCCTCCTGACTAGCTGAGATTACAGGTGTGAGCCACCATGCCCAGTTCTTAGCTATTTTTCTTTTTAATTGAGGCACAGTCAAACTTGGTCACCTTCAGTAGAATGCTGTGTTGTCGTAGCTCACAGCAGCTTCAAACTCTTGGGTTCAAGTGATCTTCTTGCCTCAGCCTCCCAAGTAGCTGGGCCTACAGACCCGCCACAATGCTTGGCTATTTTTAGAGACGAGATCTCGCTCTTGCTCAGGCTGTTCTCGAACTCCTGAGCTCAAGCAATCCACCCTCCTCGGCCTCCCAGACAGGTGTGAGCCACCGTGCCCAGCCTCAGCTATTTTTCTTTTTTTTTTTGAGACAGAGCCTCAAGCTGTCCCCCTGGGTAGAGTGCCATGGCATCACGCTCACAGCAACCTCCAACTCCTGG